CCATTACTCCAGAGAATCAGGTGAAGCTCTCAAATTGAATGATTGTCCCACGTTTTAGGTTGTCAACAAAATGTATTCTTTCTGAATACAAAAAAAACAGCCTAGAGTGCCTGCTCCTAAACCTATTTACAATAATCCCTAACACGCATCACAAGAAAGGATGCACAGAACAATATGAGAAGAGAATAGATAAAGAGAATATATCCACATTTTACTGATGTACTGTATGACATAACAAGGTGTTCATTATTGTCATGTGAAAGATCTACATTATCATACAATACCGGTAGTTGTTGGAAGATTCTAAATACCAAAATTATCAAAGTTGGAACCAAACTGGAGCTGGTACTGCTTCTGTAATGGAGCTGAACAACCTTCTGAAAGTTGGCCTTACTAAAGTTCTTGTAATATTTGAGAAATTCACGTCATAAAGTAAGTCATGACTGCAGTGGAAATGTCAGCCAAGCATACAACACATGTAATTGATAAGCTACACCAAGAGTTGGTTTTATATGCCACAGAAGATAGGGAGGACCTAATAATACTGATGAACCATTGCTGAGACACTTGTCCAGACATCCAGAGTGAAAACCGTTTTGAGCATTTTATTCTCCAGTGGCATAAACACTATGTAATGTGTGTGCTTGTGATATTTTTCTTCTTCAAATGGCAAAATCCCATGAGTGAAAAAATTTGAATTTGTTAGTTGTGTTTTTTCACTTTATCTTTTTCTGTGACGGAGTACAAACACCGGCAGGCATTGATGATCTGATCAACTCATTCTGTCCAACTGTTACTAAAATCTGAAATATTCTCATCTCATAATTGTGCAGTTGTGAAGTTGGCAATTGTGAATGTACTGGCATAATACATCCTTTGTTTCTTTCAGTTAAAGAATAAACATTACTTGGTGTTGTAAATGGTTGAATATTTGTAAATGGTTGAATTTCAAACACCCATATACAAAGACCACGGAACAAAACCTTCAAGAAACAAATAAGAGTTGCATTGCAAATCAGGCATTAGCACAGAAAGAGCATCCTTTGAGAGAGTTAAGTTAATGTGAAATAAAGGTTAAAAGGGATCGACGCTCTCTCTCTGCTGCCAAGTCCAGGGCAGAGTGTTCATTAGGGTTGCAAGAGCAGCTGACTGGCCCACAAAAGGTTCTGCAGCTGACGTCCATGAAACAATCCCTAATGAGCAGCATAGAGGATGGCCTTTAGTTCTTGTTTCTCCTTGAAACTTGACAAACAAAGTTGATGAGCAATGATACAGAATGGACTATCATAAATAGGACCCTTCTGTAAAATCAAGTCATTTCTCAGATAAAGAAATCTAAACTTTCAAGTATGGGGGCAATGCAATGAGGATAAAGATCCAAACCCAATCAACAGGAGCGTAATACAGGATGGATAATGTGTACTTGCTTTGTTTGATCATGATCAAAACATGGTAACCAAAGTATTTTGAAAAGAAAATTTTGAAGTCTGTATTTAAATTCAAGTCACTTATAGATATGACACAAAGCTTTCTTCTTCAGAAATGTTTTAAATTGTTGCCAGAATTAATGTGTCCTCTCACCTTACCACAGTCTCTTCATCAATCATTTCCCCCAGAGGTTTAAGTGCATTAGATCCAGAAACAGACACTAAACTGTAATTATTCCCAAATACTGCCATGTTCAATTATATCTTGTTCTACGCTTTTGAAAAAATACATCTTAAATGTTTGTGAAACAAAGATAAAATCTGAACGTAACATTTGTGTTGTGCCATCCTGGGACATCTTCCATGCAGGAAATACGTTAAATATGGACACAAATAATGGCAGTGTTTTACAGTAGAATCTGGCATTGTTCCCTGCTAAAACACAGAGTGAAGTGACATGTTTCCTGTACATACATCATGTGATGTCTAATCACCAGTTCATCCCAAGGAAATAGATGGAAAACAAAATTGGTCGTATAACATCCCCTTGTCAGACTGTCAGAGAAAACAGGAAGCCGCTATTAGCATTAACTCCAAGACAATACAGAATGGCTGTGCCATGACACAAAGCCAGTACTTTTCTGGTCGTCTTTTCAAATGCAATTAACTGCTTGGTATTGTTTTACACATTATTTAAAGATGCACAGAAAACTAATTTATTATTCATTTATTACATCTAATGACCAATTCGGATGAATACCAGTATCTATATATTTCTATCATGTATGGCATGTGTATATATATGTTTATATTAAAACATAAACTTGAGTATAACATTGATATATACATATATATTATCTACATGCATTATAATCACACAGCTAGTCTTATGATATATAATATATATATATGATATCTCTCTATATACCTTAGTCAAATAATTTATTAAATAACTCCTTTACCTTTTTCTTTCTCTGTCCTACAGCATAAACACATACACCTTGCTTTGCCTACAACTGACTTGAATTGTGAAGTTCATCTCATGAAAACAACAAATTTTAGTTTCTTGGGTTTTGATAACAAAATGTTACAATGATCAGGAACTAATTCAGGTTGGTCTTTGGCTTGCATAAGTGTATCTCCTCCACTGTGTTCCTTGTCAGAGTATATGACAGATGTTCTTACAAACATATCAAGAAGCATGCACACTGCCAGTTGGCAGGGGTACAGCCCACAGTACAAGTGCTTCACCACTCACAAGTGCAATGGAAACAAGCTCCTCACTACATGTGCAAATAAATGTTTGCATTTTGTGACTGACACTTCCCAGCTGTGTGTCTCTACCTCAAAGCGCAGTTCTCGATCTTTCCCTGCTCCCCTCTCCTGCAGTCCAACCCCCTTTCCTTACATCCTGCAGCCGCAGAAGCAGCAGCATCATCTCCTGCACATCGTTCTGCCACTTGCCACAGGCACTTTAATACCTGATCTTTGATCTCAGGTTCAGGAAGAGACAAGAACAAATTTCATTGCCCTTAACGGTTGGTTTATGAGGATTCTGATGTGTCTTGTATGTGCTGGAGATATTTCTGACAACATCTTTGGGTAATCTAGTCTTGGTTCATCAGAATATAATCTTCTCCATCACAGTAGAGAAAAGCTACAGGGTACTACTAACATTTACCTAAAATTCTTAACGCTATTATTAACAGGTGAGGAAAGACCAAAAGCCTCCAAGTAAGATTGGTTGTCACGTTAAATGTCATTTTCTGGTAAAAAATAAAATCTGGAACAAAAAATTGTATCATAAACTTTAGATAATATCATATCAGTGTTAACAAGATACTTTTACACAATGTATTCATTTTCTACACACTCACATGAGGAAAACAGACGAAATTTGAAACAATTCTGAAGGTGTAGTGTGGACTCATGACACTCTAATATATTGAATAAACTGACGAGTCTTTGATGTGTGACAGGAAAGTGGAACATGTCCTCATATTCCAGGGCAGATAAACACAATGAGATATGCAACAAGCAAGACAAACAATCAACCCGAAACGGAGCAACTTACAGGAGGCTGGGAGCTTAAAGCATTGTACAGAAAAACACCGTGCTGAAAAGCACACACATAGTGCTGACAGATGCCCATTCTTATCAAACATTTAAACAGATCCTTGGCTTACAAATTTGTCATTTAGGACAGCAATCACATGGTAAAAACAGATTTGGATGCATATACTGGGGGGAAAAAAGAGCAATGTTTTCGACAGCTTGCTCAAAGAAAAACAAGCACTGTCTGCAAAAACTTTCATTTCATCGATGGTTTGACGTGTTTACAAAGAAAAATGGTTTGGAAAATATTTTTGTGCTGTCATAGATAAGTAAAGAAAATTGAGATGGTTTACAAGTCTACCTCTTTTTTAATTTTTTTCTAATGAGTCAAAATGGAAAAGACAATTTTGTTGTTAAATAACTATTATGGTAAAAAGTACTAGAATATGCAGATTACTGTGTGTTAGATATTTTGCAGATGATACAAAAACATTTGACCTGTCCACCACCATCCAGGGACAATAAGATGACTGTGGAATAGATGAGTGAATGCTGGTTCTCCACAGTATTCTCATGTTGTGCAGGCCACCTGCTCCGTAGAGCTGTCCTCAGACCTAGTGTCTATATCCATCACAAGAAGGTGCACACATATCCCTAGATACAGACATATAACATATACTCTTCAGCGACCTTGAACATATTGATCCTCGCACAATCAGTATCTGAAAAGCCCTTTCTTAACAGACTTACAATGTAGTTGAAATACCATCATTGTTTGCTCTTTACAATATGAGTGATTTGGTTTCAGTGCCAATTTAATCAGTATTAGAGTCATATGTTGGAATATCAGCTGGATGTGGAAGTTTAAGTAGGCTTCAAAACCCTGGTCAAAGCCAGAAGGTATCTCTGCTGAAATCAGAGCTGTTTGTACATTTCAGACAGTATCATGTGCATGTGTTTATGAATTATTATCAAATTGTGATGAAACATAGGGGGCACCTGTAACAAACACACGCAGAGGCAAGTCAAAATCGTGGTGACATGTAGTAGAAGTCAAAGTAGGGAATCGCATTGGACATTATTTTTGTCATATATAAATGAGTGAGTGTGAGTGAGTTTAATTTTTAAACTTGTTACTGCAATATTCCAGCAATACCACAGCGGGGACACCAGAAATGGGTTTCACACATTGTACCCATATCAGGAATTTGGCTTGATGAGCAAACGCTTTAACCACTAGGCTACCCCACCGCCCCCATATATATGTATGAGTAATGTCATAGATGTTAACCTAGGTTAACTTTCACTTCTACTACACACACACACACCTCTCTCTCTCTCTCTCTCTCTCCGGCCACACACCGAAAGTGAATTCAGGCACATAACTCATAACTCGAGCTACACATACCCAACATCTGAAGAAGAAGAAGCAGCTGTGTCCAATATACTGTGTTTACTCTAACATAGCGAAAGGAGGTCTCTTTCCTTCATGAAAGACACAGACAATATGATACTTACATAATTGTCTTTCAGATCAGGGTGATCCTTTTCTATTCCATCATCCAATATTGTAACAGTTACACCTTTCCCTGTGTACCCAAAGTTCCATGCTTTTCGGACATTCATATCCAAACCAGCACCTCTGTTCTGTAACAAAAAATATTGTCCAATTACCATGAGCATGTAAACATAGATAACTGAAAAAGAAATTATTTGAAATAAAACGAAGGGCAATCACACCAAACCCAAATGGTCATGTGAAAGCATTTTATTTCTATACAAAATGAAAATACAGTGAAACAGGCAACTCATTTCTTCCTTCAGTTCCTGAAGATCTATCAAAAAGCAAGATCTTAACTTAGAGTGAGTCTCTGAAGATGAAGGTTACAATTTGTCATAAACAGCGCCCTGTTTGCTATAAGAAGTGACTAACAGAATTGGGTGGGTAGTTCCCACTAACTTGGTGAGTGAGTGAGTTTAGTTTTAAGCCATTTGTAGCAATAGTCCAGCAATATCACAGCAGGGGACACCAGAAATGGGCTTCACACATTGTGGGGAATCGAACCTTGGTCTTCTGTGTGACTAGTGAATGCTCTACCCACTAGGCTACCCAGCCCCTGGTAGATGGATATCAAGGTGTCCCAGTAATGAAGATATCATGTCAGCTCAGCACTGTATGGTCACATGTGACTATTTACAGACTGCTGTCATGTATCTGGAATATTGTAATTGTGCCTTGTTTTCCATATAAGACTCCTTACAGCTTATGTTACAGCTTTACTGGCGTGAGTGAGTCTTGTTTTACGCCACACTCAGCAATATTCTAGCTATATAGCGGTGGTCTGTAAATATTCGAGTCTGGACCAGACAATCCAGTGATCAGCAGCATGAGCATCGATCTACGCAATTGGGATTGATGACATTTTACAGAGGTGACTTGTATTTCCACAACAACAGTACAGATAAAGAGGAAGATTCATAAATGCTTAGTCTACATTGCATGAATTATTAAGACAATATTATATGTATACACCAGTGATACTCTACAATAGAGAATGACCTTTTATTTATTCAGATAAGGGCATTAATTTTGAAGCCAAGGGAGACTCCCCGAGGTATCCTGTATACACAGCAGTACTGATGTAATATCACATAATATAAAAGTGAAATCTTCCCCCACATCAATAAGATATCTCTGCATTGATTGTGTAATTCTGACTATATCATGAGCATATGTGTATGAACGACTCTGTATTGAACTACAAGGGAAATGTAACAAGGCTCTGTGGTCTGACAATAAAACAAATAAGCATCCACACACAGGATGTCCACAGATGATAATTCCCATGATTATTCTTATTACCATCATCATCCATCTCATCATGAATTAACAGTTATGGAGGTGAGGTGTGGAGGACTGCTCCTCTAACATATCATTCCCATTCTCATCATCCATCTCATCATAAATTAACAGTTATGGAGGTCAGGTGCGGTTATGGAGGTCAGGTGCGGTTATTGAGGTCAGGTGTGGAGGACTGCTCCTCTAACATATCATTCCCATTCTCATCATCCATCTCATCATAAATTAATGGTTATGGAGGCGAGGTGCGGAGGACTGCTCCTCTAACATATCATTCCCATTCTCATCATCCATCTCATCATAAATTAACGGTTATGGAGGTGAGGTGCGGTTATGGAGGTGAGGTGCAGAGGACTGCTCCTCTAACATATCATTCCCATTCTCATCATCCATCTCATCATAAATTAACGAGGTCGCGAGGTTATGGAGGTCAGGTGCGGTTATGGAGGTGAGGTGGAGGACTGCTCCTCTAACATATCATTCCCATTCTCATCATCCATCTCATCATAAATTAACGGTTATGGAGGTGAGGTGCGGTTATGGAGGCGAGGTGCGGAGGACTGCTCCTCTAACATATCATTCCCATTCTCATCATCCATCTCATCATAAATTAACGGTTATGGAGGTGAGGTGCGGTTATGGAGGCTGGAGTGCGCGGAGGACTGCTCCTCTAACATATCATTCCCATTCTCATCATCCATCTCATCATAAATTAAACGGTTATGGAGGTGAGGTGCGGTTATGGAGGCGAGGTGCGGAGGACTGCTCCTCTAACATATCATTCCCATTCTCATCATCCATCTCATCATAAATTAACGGTTATGGAGGTGAGGTGCGGTTATGGAGGCGAGGTGCGGAGGACTGCTCCTCTAACATATCATTCCCATTCTCATCATCCATACTTTGAACATGAAGACAAATGCCATGCTTCCACCAAGCGTGAAGGCAGATGTCATAGTTACACAAGCACCAATCATCACCCAGTGCTCTCCAGAGACTATGGTACCTCTGTTTAGTGAGAAGGATAATTACATGACAATACCAATGAGTGGGACACAGATGACACTAACATAATTTAACATCTGTCTGTGACACCAACAGCTCCTTGGAGATACTTCAGAGATCATTGGAGGTCATGGCAAGTCCTTTTTGACTCAACATTACAGCTTGATCAATATATTTCATCAATTGTGAAATAGATATTGATGGAGTTCCTCAAGCATGTAGTCCTCCCCTGGGGTTTATTTTCAGGGAATTTAACTGTTTCATTCTTTCTTTTAAACCGAAAAAGCTACACATAATTCTGAATTACATAAAGGCTTATGAAACATCTAGAAGAACTAAAAAACACATATGGACAGACATATGCACATAGTACTAAATACAGCACAGTTACTATCCATATTTGTAACACATTTAGTTACAAATAATCCTTAATTAACATGTTGCTCTAAATCCTTATTCAGATTAATTCCCCACACTGACTTTTAGTAGGAACTTGCAGCCATGATGTAACAAGGGTTTTGAACATGGTAAAGCCCTGAAATTTCTTCTACTCTGTTCTTCTGTTTTCCTTGATATACCTTAAATTGTTCATGGCATATCCAGCAAACTATGTTTTTGTGAATAGCATGTCACATAAATGAATACATCACAGGCTAAAACTTAAAGCAATCAACAAAAACAACATTCAGTTCTTAACTTTTTTCATTCAATTTCCTGACTGACAATCATCTGAATAGAAAACTGTTCTCCCAAATAACCCTTAGAATTTTCTTCCCATTAATTACTAATTTTTTTTTTGATATTTGGTAATTCCTCCCCAAACAAGTTAATCAAGTGGCTGCCAGTGTGTAACAGAGGCATGCTGTACAGCATTGTATGCAGGATGTACAATGATCTCATTCAATTACACTTGACAAGTCACTGTTTAAAGTAATATTCCTTGCCAAACAGTTGCACCAGCAACTTTATGAAGCAGATCAAAATCAGACATGACAAGTTAATTCGCAAGCCTGTCTAGTGCAGGCAACTGCACAGTAGGTGATGTACACATGTGCCTCACATTGGCTCAGAAGTGTGATGGCCAAAAAACCACAGCTTGGCACACTTTAAATGCTTCATCTTAATAGGAAAGACACCCAGCATCTTGCCTCTTGCTGTCTTGAGGGATCTATCAAGGCTTCAAGTGTGAAAAGTGAAATTCAAGGTAGCCGTCCCCCACCGTGATACCCTGGATGTATGATAGACTCCTCATCAATCTCAACATCATCTGAAACTTCACATATCTTCCCCGAGTTTCATCATTCACACTTGGACCTCTCCCCTCTTCCTTAATTAATCAAGACTTGTACATAACACATCTTTGCAGGAGAAGTGTTTCAAATATCTGCTTACATATTCCACTGGACATTAAAGGCAAAACAGTAACATGTATTATAAGAATAGATCCCTGAAAATCAGTGGTAACGCCATGTTTGTGAAAAGGGTAAGAATAAAACTAACCAGCCCTAGTCACTAGATGTTTTTGTGTTTGAAAATACGGACTCATTTTTAAAAATGCTACATATACAATCAATAAATGCTTGGTCTGAAACCAATGTATCATCAGAAGGATTTTCATAATTATTTGCTTCTGATGTACACATGCATCCAAACAGCAATCAGTGAAAACTTCAGAGCAGGCCTATTGTTATATCATTACTATCATACATCTCCAGCCTCACATTGTAGCGTCAAGAGCTCAGTCAAGACACAGGACAACTTATAATTACTCATACAGCATGGAAAAATCGAGTTCCTTTTTCCACTGAACATCCCTGTAAATACATACACTGTAGTCATTAGCTATACAGACATGTTCAAATCAATATGTAATTCTTGATGTCAGATTGACCTGTACAAATACATATCTAGCAAGCAGTATGATCTCCGAGTCTCCTTCTGGATATTCCTGGAAGATTGTGATAGTGTTACAACATCCTGCAGTCAATCAATATCTCCAGCTACATGGGCATCTCGGACAGCAGCGATAATCTGCCCATAGTCCAGGTCAATATTTGTCCACAAAAATACCTATATTCATAATGACAGCCACTTGAGAGAATAATGTGTCATGTGCTATGTTTAAGTTGTGACAAAGAATAACATTGATAGAGAAGAACTTGTTTATTGTTTGCCACAATGCTTCAGGGCTTCCTCTTGGACCTTCATCACGGGACATTACTAATCCTCTCGGCAAAAAGTGGAGTCTCTCACTTGAAATTGCGTACAAGTGTTTAAGAGTATCTTTTATCTGCTTAAGGAGTATTTTATCTGAATCTTCCTGTGGGGATTCTTGGGGGACAAGGTCATCAGTATCCTTGGCTTCCAAATCCTACAAACCAATTACAATAAGACTGGTCCCACAGGCTTACTGACTTGAAATTTGTCACTATGACCCTACATTATAGGTGTCAAGCCCCAATATTGCAAGTGTCATGATGCCCCAATATTGTAGGTGTCATTATGCCCCAATGTTGTGTGTCATGCCTCAAAGTGGGTGTCATGATGCCCCAATATCACAGGTGTCATGATGCCCCAACATTGTAGGTGTCATTATGCCCCAACATTGTGTGTCATGCCTCAAAGTGTGTGTCATGATGCCTCAAATTGTGGGTGTCATGATGCCCCAATGTTGTGTGTCATGCCTCAAAGTGGGTATTCATGATGCCCCAATATTGCAGGTGTCATTATGCCCCAAAGTTGTAAGCATTACCATGCCGGTAAATGAAAACACAACTCCTCA